CCTCCCGGATCGGTTTGCCCCGATCCCGTTCCTAATATATCCATCATCTATATATATATCATTACAAAGTTTAAACCAACTAAATATTTAAAATAACTTTAAGTAAATAATAACTGCATTTACTAATTTCAAGCAAAGTTTTTTTTAATAGTTAATTGATTAATAATTAATTACACAGATATTAATATATATAATTGACTAATAATTATTATGATAATTAAACTAATAATTAATGATAGAGAATATACCCCAACATACTTACCTGTATGTACTGAACACAGTACTTGCTCGGATCCGCCTCCACATATAGTGGATGTCCATTCTTGACTTGATCCGATTTGAGAAGAACATCTGCTCGATCTGACTTGGGAGTTAGGCGATCGATTGGCTTAGTGAGCTTCTGCTCTCAACCTTTTACGCTTGGTCTCGATCTGGCTGATTGGTTGAGGAACCCGAGCCCATGATATAAGACATTTCGGTGACATTTCAGACAACAAAGCGACCAGCGAGGCAGAGACCTTTTGTCGGTCGCAGTTGCTTTTGTTGTCTGAAATGTCACCGGTGGGTTGCCGGAACCCTAGTGACTTGTGATAGCATATCACTAACTAATTTTGGACTTTATTGTATTTAAATAAATTGTTGATGGTGTAACATTATAATTACACAAAGTGTAGGAGTCTAATTGACTTTTTAAGTAAAATGTGAGTGTCTATTTGACTATTTTTTTTTATAAATATAATATTATGTTCAATTGGAGAATTACACGTTGCATATATCATATGACAAACGTGTAATAAGTTATTGAAACTTAGAAGTGTTCAACAAGCCTGCTTTTAAGCATCAGCAATGTAGTTTAATCTTAATTAAACACGTTTTACTTTCTGGCATGCTATAATAAATAACTTAATATATTGACTTGTTGAGATTAGTCTTAATACATTGAACAAATTCACAAACTTAATACATTTAATTCATTGTTAGTGTAAATGTGTCTTTAAATTTAATATTTAATAAATGAATATTTAACATGTGAACTAAATTTGAAACAAAATCAAGAGTTCAATAATAAAAATTGGTAAAAGTTAATAATCAATGAATAATTTATGGTCCAATCAAAAAATTGAGAATAAAAAGTAATAAATGTGAATAGTCAACAACCGTTTGTAGAATTAACTCAAAATACAATTGTAAAACTACAAACGTCACTAGTGCATTGGTTTATTTTATGAAAGAAAAAACATTTAAATGTCACAATCTACCAGGACTATGTGGTCCAATGGTACCCGGGTTGGACTTCCATTTGGAAGATTGTGAGTTCGAGCCTCAGTGGAGGCGTTATTAGCTCTTTGTGTTTCAGTAGGTTGAGAAAGTATATGAACAGATACTACATTGTAATAGAGCTAGTAGCATTCAAAAAAAAAAAAAAAATGTCACAATCTATTATCTATATATATCTATGGTCCACTGCACTATTCGAACATGCAACTATACAACCTCAGATAAGAATCTTGGTGAATAGAGAGAGCATGGGCGAAGCGATGCAGGGGTTTGGCTATGCGTTTTGCCTTCTGCTTTCCGTACTGCTTAATATTTTGTTCATTGCGAATATTTTGTATGGGGGAGTGGGGGCTCCGGCAGCTGAAGTGGAGCCAGGACGCGGCGGCAGCGGCGGAGACTGTGGCGGCGCTTGAGTGCTCCGGCCATGGCAGAGCGTATATCGACGGGAAGATTGGTGATGATGGTATTACACCTGTGTGTGAGTGCCACAACTGCTATTCTGGTCATGATTGCTCTCTCTTATTGCCTGACTGCTTTGCTGATGCTGACAGGTATGCATGCATATATGCTCTCCATCTCTATACATGTTAGAATTGGTGGGAAAATTTTGAGTTCTATTACATGTATTAAAACTTTTACCAACTTAAAATATATAATAATTATACTAGCTCTAATATATTATTTAAATTCATGTTGATTGAGCAGTGGGGATCCTTTGTTTCTGGAGCCTTTTTGGGTGCAAAATGCAGCTAGCAGTGCGGTGGTTTTGTCAGGATGGCATCGGATGAGCTATACATATGCAGATGGTTCATCTTCCTCCCAAGAACTGGAAAATTACATCCGGAAAGTGCACGCCGTTGCCGGAAATGCAATCACCGACGGCAAATATATCGTCTTTGGTGTCGGTTCAACTCAACTATGTAATGCGGCTGTTTATGCTCTTTCTTTGGAAAACTCCTCCTCCCTTTCACCGGCAAAAGTCGTCGCCAAAATCCCCTTTTACCCGGTACAGATCAGATCAGACTCTCCTTATTAAATTAAACTAAATTTAGTTGAGATAGAACGAAAGGTTCCTTCAATTCATTTGGTTTTCTTTTTGTCCGATCCACAGCTTTATAAGACGCAGACTCAATATTTTGAGACCAAATATTATGAATACAAAGGAGATCCGTCTTTGTTGAACAATGATACCGATGCAGCTGGAAATGTGATCGAGTTTGTAACTTCGCCCAACAATCCAGATGGCCATTTGACGGCGCCGGTTGTTGGAGGTCCCTTTACAAGGACAATTTATGATCGAGCTTATTACTGGCCTCATTTCACACCCATCCCTGCTGCCGCTGATGAACATCTTTCCATTTTCACCCTCTCCAAGCTCACCGGCCATGCTGGAAGCAGATTAGGGTAATGTTTCGTCTTAACTAAAAGGCTTAAATACACAACTGAACTTTGTTCTTATTCTATATATATATTTATTTATTTATTTATATGTTCAACGGGTTATTATTCATTTTCTTGGTTTTTTGGTAACGCAGGTGGGCAATTGTAAAAGATAAGAGTGTGTATGAAAACATGGTGTCGTATATAAACGAAGCAGAACTGGGAATTTCAAAGGAGACACAGTTGAGGGCTATGACTATCCTGAAAACAGTCCTCCAGGGTGATGGGAGGGGAATCTTCAACTTTTCCTATGAAAAAATGAAGAACAGATGGGAAAAGCTGAGCCAGATCATATCCCAGTCTCATAGATTCTCCCTCCAAGAAATTTCTCCAAAGTACTGCAATTTTTTCGAGAAAATTCGAGGACCCTCTCCAGGTATAGTACAAGGTTTTGTTCTTGATTTCCATTGATGAAACTGGGAATAAACGTAGAGTGTATGAACTTGCAGCGTATGCATGGGTGAAGTGTTTAAGGGAGGAAGAAACAGATTGCAATGCAGTCCTGAAAGCGGCGAAGATCATAGGGCGAGAAGGCAGCATGTTCAGCGCCGAGGATCGTTATGTGCGGCTCAGCCTCATTAAGGGCGACGACGATTTCGAACAGTTGCAGGCTCGGTTGAGGGAGCTGGTCGCCATTGAAGATGGTGCCAAAACCATGTGAATGCAACATTATAATAAGTCACAAGTCCAGGTTTATTTATTACACGTCTTAGAATAATGATTGTGGGTTTTCCTCATCATAACAAAAATTGTACTTGGAATTTGGTTTCCAGGTAGGGATAATGTTTGTCGTGTATTTCATTGACGCTAGCTGTTACAAAGGATAATAGTCCACTTGGAATTTGTTTTCCTGGTGTTTATTGTGAGTAATTAGTGTGTGGGTGTACTAGTACAGTGATTTTAAGTCTTCTGTTATCTGTAAATGATTTTGTAGTTATTGTAGTATTGTACCATTATTGTTGGTCAAGATTTAATGCTTCGACATGTTATAACTTATAAGTAATGTATGGCAGATATGGGTTATAATAATTCAAGATTTAATGCTTAGCTTCAACATATACACAGATGGCTAAAAAGATTCAGAGTTTAGCTTTGTGTACCTGTTCTTTTTTTTTTTTTTTTTTTTAACTTACATTAATATTGTATTCTGATTTTACAATGAGGTAAACTAGTTGACCTGGTTCAAATCAGAAGGCTAATAAACAATTTTTATAATAGTTAAGTTTAAAATTATAACTATCAAATAAATTATTTAATCAATTTAATTGGATTGTTAATTTAGAATAATACATTAGTAAATACTAAGATGACAATTTTAAATAACTAGAGTCTTAATTTTATTCTTCAAAATAAATAGTAAAATATAGCAGGTGCTCTTATAAGTCATTTTACATGTGATAACTTAAGAGTAAGCAATTAATTTACTAAAACCTTTGATACTAACCTATGGTCAAAACAACTAATATAATCACCTATATGCTAAGCTAATCAGCTATCAATTATTTGTCAATCGTTATATGGTTGGACCATGGTTTACATCCAATATGGTACTGTTCTCTTAAATAAAAGAAATGACTAACATTGTTGTAAATCATAAACCAATGGTGTATCATGTTATATAGATATTTATATTGTCAAACGAACATATAATAGACTTGAAATAATACTTTAATGTTGTCGTAATGAACCTATTGTGTATAAAATGAAATTGAATAGTAGAACTCATACAAATATGGAGTACTATATTGTCAAATGAATTTGTAGTGGAATTAAAATGATACTTTATTATTGTTATAATGAATCTATTAAATGTATAAAAATGAAACTAAACATCAGAGCTTATACATGTATGTATATTTTTAAATGAACATGTAGTGAAATTACAATGTATTTTAGTGTTGTTATAATGAACATATTGTTGATAAAATAAAATTGGATAACATAAACATAAAATGTAAATAAAATAATATTTCAACATTATTAACATAATAAAATTAGTGAATGTGAAAAAATGAAACTAAAACACATAACTCATACAAAGATAACGAACTAGAAAAAGAATAATAATTTTTTTCCTAAAATTAAAATCAAATGACATCTTTTAATTTCACTATGATCACAGTAACATTTGCATTAATTGTCGAACACCCATAGATGCCAAGATGGGGTCCACTAATGGCCCAACCGCAAAATTTGCGGTATCAAAACGTTTGTTTTTTTTTTTTTTTTTTTGGTGTGATTTTAAAATTTTGTTATCAACTTTTGAAACCAAGAAGAAACGACACGCGCCCTCTATAAACTGACCCCGTACCGCGAAGCATATGCTGATCGAATCCCAAGATTAAATCTTAAACCTTGATATCTCCGAAGCTTTTGTTTCTCCCGGTTCCATTTCCAGGTTTCGGCTGCGAATTTCGTCCGTCCCCGTTAGATTTCTGCTTTTTTGGTAAGCTTAATTTGTTGATTTCCCTGGCATCATTCCTGTTTGTTTTCTATCATAAATTTCTGATAATTTCTTTTCGTAAGGAATACCCTTCTTTTACCTTTATGTAATTTGTAGGTTTTGAATCATATAGATTTCGCCAGCTTTGCATGCTCAATCGAATTCACTTTATTTTCTCCTCGCCGGTTTCATTTTTCTGATAACTTATTTGGAATCCCTGTCTTAGTCTGTTCCTAACTTGCATGCATTTGTTTTCAGAATTTGAGTGTTTCTGAATATTATTGATCCCATAAGTGATTTGGTGATACTAATTTCGTGATTTCTGTGCAAAGGTGGGGTCTTGATTGATGGAATTCAAGAAAATTAGACTTAATGGAAGTAGAACTGAGGAATTAAAAGAGCTACTATCATTCCTGGCTTCAAGCTGGGGAGATGTTTTGGATGTAAATAGCTTGAAGGTTATCCATTTGAGTGGAGCAATGACTAATCGGGTGTATAAAATAAGCTGGCCTACAAAGAAGGAAAATGTTTGCAGGAAGGTTTTGCTTCGGGTTTATGGTGAAGGAGTTGAGCTTCTATTTAGCAGGGATGATGAAATTCGGACCTTCGAATATGTCTCGAAGCAAGGCTATGGACCTCAGCTTCTCGGGCAATTTCCTTGGGGACGAGTGGAAGAGTTTATTGATGTCAGGGTATGGTGATGTTTTCTTTCTGAATGGTGAAAAGGTCTTCTAAGATCATTTAGATTACATTCTCGTTTTACGTTTTTTTCAGACACTGTCAGCCAGGGACCTCCGAGATCCAGAAATCTCTTCTTTGATAGCAGTGAAATTGAGACAGTTTCATAACATTGGGATGCCTTGTCCAAAGAAAGCTGTTCTTTGGGATAGGTTGAGGTAGTAAACTACGAATTTGCAGTCCAAAACAATGTTGTTATTTAAGGTTGTTTTCATTTACTAACCAATCATCTTCTTCGTTAGGGACTGGCTAGGCAAGGCCAAAACCTTGTGCACTGCAGAAGACATAAAGGAATTGAGGTTGAATGATTTAGATAAGGAAATTGAGACGATAGAGAAGGAACTTTCAAAGGATTCACAAAAGTTTGGCTTCTGTCACAATGACTTGCAATATGGAAATATGATGTTCGATGAGAATACAAGAAGCATAACCATAATTGTAAGTGTCATTATCAAAGTTGCCATTTTGCATAGAGAATTGTTTGTGATTGAATTAATGAATCTCGTTTGATGATTTTTAACAGGACTATGAGTATGCTAGTTACAATCCAATTGCTTATGACTTTGCAAACCACTTCTGTGAAATGGCAGCCGATTATCACACTGAAACCCCACATGTTTTGGACTATACAAAGTACCCTGGTAAATAGCTGCTATACGTTTAGTTATGTAGAAGATATCCTTATTTTACCATAATATGGTGTAATTATCAATTGAAATAAAAACATGGCTTGTAGCCTAGTACAAGTTTACTTCTTAACTTTTAGTTTGCCACAGGTGTAGAGCAGCGCCATAGATTTGTACACTCGTATCTTAGTTCTGCAGGTTTGTTTTACTGGCTCTTTCTTTAATTAACATGAATCTTGTTGAGAACAATATGGCCTAGGTTTCATTCATATGACCAAGAAATAATAGCTTTGTCTCGCAGGCCATCAACCAATAGACTCTGAAGTCAAACAGCTAGTTGATGATGCAGAAAAATACATCCTTCCAAATCATTTGTTCTGGGGATTATGGGGAATCATCTCGGTCTGCAGTTTTCCATAATTTTATTGCCCTTTGTTTTTTACCTTGAGTGAACATTTGAAGTTGGGATGGTAACCACTCTTGAATAATTATTATTTGCAGGGATACGTGAACAGTATTGACTTCGATTACAAGGAATATGCTAGACAAAGGTTTCATCAATATTGGCTGAAGAAACCCGAATTCATCAGCTGAAAACAAGAGTAATGGAACCTGCAACATTATTAGATGTAGCAGAGATTATTGTTGTTCACTATGATGTTTTGTCACAGGATATAACCTGTGTTAGGATGGCATTCATTTCTAGAAATGAATTGCTTCTGTTGTTCTGTAGTAAAAGTCCAGAGAGGATATCATTCTTTCTTTAGCAGAGAAAGTGTTTGTTATTACTGTTGTGTTTGATTTCAACTAGTGAAAAGAAAGGTTATTTTGATTTCTAAAGCAAAGCCATTTTTACTTATACCATGCAAAATAGTGTATCTAAATATTTGGCGGTGTGACAACGTGGAATACACAACATTCTGCGACTCTGCAGAAAACAAAAATAACAATAGATGCTAGCCCACACCACCCACCAGCAAAAATATAATATTAAGAGTTTGTGGAGCCGATTACAGACAAACAGCATATAATCTGGATTCTGGACTTAGCTGGTTTCAGATTCATTCGTCGGGTTTTTCTTCTTTTTCTGCAAAGCAAAAAACACAATAAATCAATGCCATATGAGCCCTGTATGATCTGTTGAGCTAATACATTATCAGAGCAAAGAAAGATCCTATGAGATTTGAGTCCAAACACACAAGTCAAGTGCTTACAGATTTATTTTCTTTTGTGCCCTGTAAAACATCCACAGCATCTCTCACCGCATGAATCGTCATTTTCTTCACCTGCCCCAAAATGAAACTTCATAAATTTATAGTATCGATATCAGATATGATAATACAATTTACAATTACACAGATTGCTATATTCAGCATATCAGGAGTGTACTTAACCACTTTGTTAGTTTATGTTTTGGATATTCACAAAGAAATTTAAAAAAAAAAAAAAAAAAAAAAAAAAAAAAACATAATTCAAGAAAAGATATACATAAACTGTTGGAAACTTTCAGGAAACATCAACAGAATCAAACCTCCAGTTTATCTTCTTTTGCCCTGTGATTTGGGGGAAGTGTGCGGAATTCCTCAGTCAATCTCATACATTCGGAAACATTTTCAGGCGAAACAAAGTCAACTGCAACTTTTATGCATGACTGCAAACAGATGATGGTAATGTTAACCTCAACCCAAACACCATTAACATCTAGACAATTATCAATATTTACCAATTGGATATTGAAAATAAACCACATTGCAAAATATAAAACTGGAATACTCCTAGCCATTAGGCACTGGGCAAGGGATATAATATGCCATTGTACACACCAGAGAATGTAGCACTTCTTTTATCTTAACCAAGAAAACAGTGCTATATAAGGACCAAACTAGATCCAGAAGTATCATGAAGAAACCATTAAATTATCCCCCCCCCCCCCCACACCCCAAAAAAAAGAAAGAAAAAGCTACTATACCTTCAAATTTCTAACTTGATGAGGGCAACCTGCTGGTATAAAAACAGCATCCCCTACATTTTGAACGAATGTCCATGGTTCAACCCCTGAACAGTTCATCATACCATAGCATTTATGAGAAATTTTATAAAATATATCAAATAAAAAAATGTTGGCTAACAGAAGAAAACTAACCATATTCTTCTTTCAGCTTTTTCTTGTGTTCAACAGTCAAGTAAAAACTTTGATCATGTATTGGGTGAACAACCTAAGTAGAGAAAAGATAAAAGATAATCAAAACAAAAGAATCACCAAAAAGAACATACATATCCTAAAAGGTTAATGCAAACAGTTGTACCCCTGGCACTTGGCAACAATAAATATGCCTGAACTCCTTGAAGTGCTTCCTTATATACTCTTCCAACTTAGGGACATCTTCCCTTCTAAAGATGTCCCAGAGAGCACCACCATCAGATTCTTCAAACTCAGCACAATCATTTCCCTTGGAATCCCCTCCAATCTGAGTTCCATTATTATTCTTCACAAGTAGAGCACCACCAACACATTCTTCAAACTCAGCACAATCATTTCCCTTGGGATCCCCTCCATTCAGAGTTCCATTATTATTTTTCACAGGTAGAGCACCACCATCAGATTGTTCAAACTCAGCACAATCATTTCCCTGGGGATCCCCTCCATTCTGAGTTCCATTATTATTGTTCACAGGTAGAGCACCACCATCAGATTCTTCAAACTCAGCACAATCATTTCCCTTGGGATCCCCTCCATTCTGAGTTCCATTATTATTGTTCACAGGTAGAGCCCCACCATCAGAGTCTTCAAACTCAGTACAATCATTTCCCTTGGGATTCCCTCCTTTCTGAGTTCCATTTTTATTCCTCGCTTGTCTTCCTCTTTTACGCTTCTGAGAACTTTCCTCATTCAACTTTTGAATACCATTCTCACTTTTTTCCAGCTCATCAGGCTTCAGTAGCTCTTTCTGATCCTGGATAGCATGTTTCATTTTCAGCTCTTTAATAGCTGAAAGTTGCTCAGGTTCTAGGTTTGTTCCATGAGCATGTGTTAAGACATTGACCTGCAACAAAAATTTAAATCAGTATAACTTTTGAAGTGTTAAAAGAGGCAATTTGATAGCAAATCACACATAATCAACCATCAAATACACATTCTCTGCAAAATAGGTAGTAAGTCTATCCCTTACAAGTAAGGCATAAACTAAGAAACAAATTTGGCAGTTACGTTAATTTCCTTCTGCTAGAGAAATTTCTGCAAATGACTAAAAACCAAATCTGGCAGAGAAAAACATTGAAAACTGACAAAGGAAAAGGATAAGAACATACAGCATCAGACATATCGCAGTGCAACTTGGTTACAGAATCTCCACGGCCCAGCTCCTGATGAACTCCGTAAGCTATATATGTCTTTGGTCCCATGTCTGGTTTTAAGGAATCTTTCGGCAACTTGACAGCAAGATTTAGATACCCATTCCTAGGATCTGTATATGTCTTGAAAGGCAGGCAGTTTTCAAACTCAGCACCATGACGAGGTAACCGCTCCTCAAATAAATCAGATGGAGGCCAATCTTTCAACTTCAGAATTGTAGGCCACCCATTACTATCAAATTGAAGCTTCATATATTCATTAAAAAACCGGTGGAGATTAACATCAACCTGGATGGCATCAAGAAATAACATAACATTCAACATATAACTTACAAAATGAAATAAAAAACTTACTTTTATAGTACTGCAAATACATTTGTAACTAAGTTACCTAGAGCTACGAATGTTTTAGCAAACTGCAGATAAAGATGGCAATCTAGTAACATCTTATCACCTTGGGGCACAAATTAGCAGAGAAGAAGATAACTATAGTCATAAGTCATAAGGAGGGAAAAAAAACTGATTTCTCAGGCAGCATTCAGAAAAGTAATGGTTTCCAACAATATAGACTGAGTGATCACCAGAATGAAAACTACAGAGAAAGGGTGATAATAATAGTGGGAAGAAAAAAATATACTCCATATATATCAAGCAAGATAAAAGACAAGAATAAGAAAAGTACTACTTGAACCATCAGCAAAATCTAACAGAAGCCCACAAAGATGCATTTAGAAGTTTAAAGATAAATTTCACTCAGCTAGAAGCATCATGTATAACATGATTTGCATGAAGAAAAGTATTGTGCTGACCTCACACCAATCCAAGCAGTTAATTGCAATCACATCTAAAAGAAGTGGATGGTTGAGATTTTTTATCTGGCGGCAAGCACGCCACATAACCAGTGGTTCCCAGCTCAGTCCTGAGGTAGTTTCCAGCACATTACTGACAATCACAGGTTCACCTTTAAGCCAATGCCAGCGGAAGTGCTTCAAATCCTCATGCTGAATGTCCTTGGCTGCTGGGCAGTACAAATAATTATCATGAGAATCCACCCTAGAAGCTGCTTTCCTTACCTTACTTTTATCAACATCATTCTCATCAATGGTATTCAAACAAGAGCACCATTGCTGAGAACACTCTGGAATATCATCTAATTTGGTTTTCTTCACTGCTTCTTCTGCTTTTGCTAGCAATACAGAAATATTATTCTCCCCGAGTAAGTGCTTTAGTTCTAAAGCTCCCCCATTACAACCACCCATATTCTCCGGTGGACAAGGAATTCCACCACTTTCTTCAGATTTCCATGTATGACAAAAACCACTAGAGCTCCTTGATGGATCATTGTCGCAGGATTTTTGAGCAAAATCAACAGAATTAGTCTCTACGAATCTCTTGCTCTTTTTTCTCTCATTAGTTCTACTGATTTCACCATGCATATAATCTAGACCTTTATCAACATATTGCATGACGACTTCTTTATTCCACTTCAAATGGCCACTCCTAAGCTCTCGGGAACAAGCAAGGCATAGATCATAGGAACAGTTTGAGCAGCTTCTGTGAAAATCAAAAATTGATGTTTTGCAGTTGTCACTGCAAATACCAAGTCACAAGAAAATGCTTCAGCATAAAATCGCATAAATTTTATCTAGAGTGATGTAAGTTAAACAAAAAAGACATACCAGTACATCCTTTCATTCACCGCACATTTTGCTTTTTGCAGCTTTAATTCAGAAAAGGCAACTCCTTCAAACAAATAAAGACAAAGAATAGTAAACATAATTCTAGCACCAGACATCAGATCTAAGGCATTTTCATAAAATTCTATAATTATCCTTTATTAAGACAACAATAAACCTCTGCCATGATGACAAAAACCCCTAAATGCAATGTTCGAACCTGTTTAGGATCCAATTAATTTCTTATCTTGTTTCATTCATTTCAAGAAACCATTTTAGAGAAGAAAACAGAACTCCACACCATCACCAAACCAAAGGGTTACCTTGAATCTTTGCTTCAATCTCCTTCTCTGTTATTTGCTCTGCATTGAATTGTCTCAAGAAAGGTAGAAGCACTAGCAAGATATACCTAGAGTACTGATCCTGCTCCTCTTTGCTGACTTTAAATGTTTTTTCTTTCAAGTCCTATATTGGGCATTTACCCAAGGGGTATTGGGGGAAGAAGTAGAAAACATAATCAGTATATGCAACTAATATCCAAGAGAAACATCAGAGATCAAACCAAAAAGAATAATAGTAACTGACACGTATAGGCCCTTCCAGCCGCAAGCATGCTTTGCAGTTGCAGTTTTGGAGACAAACAGGGCACTTTTCTGCAAAAGCCTCCTCTGACATACCAGGATACCTTTTTCATGGAAACAGAAAGTTCATGTCAGCAAAGATTGTGGACAGTAACACACCTAAAATGCTACGGCCTTTACAATTTGGAGCAATTTGTGCACATTCTGTTAAGAAAACTTCAATGGCAAGATAATTGGGGCACGATTAACTCCATTACAAATGTTAGTCTATGGTTAGGACTAAGAACCACTACCAAAAATCATGATCCTGTATTGCTAATGCGCAAAGAGTAGTGTACAACTACAATATTAGCATCCAATGCTAGCATTTATGAGAAGATAATTTACTATTTTATGGTTGCAGCAAAGTTTCATTAGCAGATGTTTAGTTTTAACCTTAAGTGCTCATAAAACCTATACAGGCAGAGATAACAAAATTCCTGTTCACAAGATATTCCTATGCCTTTAATTAAAGTGGAACATACAGTAATATCACACCTAAGTATAAACAAAAACAGAAGAGCAAAAACCAAACATGAGTACTGTCTTAAGTAACTTTCATACCATCTGGTCATGCAAGGCACACAATATCTCTTTGTCCTGCAGTTTGTACAACGAACAACTCTTCCTTTGTCATTCCTCTGGCATTGGTGGCACATATTTGATTCAATCTCATTCCCCTGTCATATCCAAAGTCAAAATAAAGTTTCACAAATGTAACAATGTATCCAACTAAATACACAATTGCTTACATCTTCATCCTTCCTGATCCTTGGCTTAGATACAACATCCTCATTCTTAGCTTTCCTCTGTCGAAGGGTGCGTGCACTCCCTTCACCACTTCCCCCATCCTGTGAACCCTCAACCACCTCTATCTTTCTATTTTTCCTCCTTCTCCCATCTTTATCTGCTTCTTCCCACTCCACCATTTGCTCCTTAAGTTTCCCCATCTTCTGGATTGCTATCTGACTTGATTTCCTCCTTGCACTCCTATTGCCCTTATCCTTGTCAGAACTTAACGGATCTTCTTTTTCATCCCCCATAATTCCAGTTTCAATCTCTTCTTTTCCACACTCCAGCATTGACTCGGCACAATTACTTCCATTGGGATCTCCTCCCTCCTCGGCTCTATTACAATTCTTCGCAGGTCTTCCCTTTTTACGGGGCTGTCTCCTCTTGCCCTTATCCTTGTCAGAACTTAACGGATCTTCTTTTTCATCCCCCATAATTCCAGTTTCAATCTCTTCTTTTCCACACTCCAGCATTGACTCGGCACAATTACTTACATTGGGATCCCCTCCCTCCTCGTCTTTATTACAAGTCTTCGCAGGTCTTCCTTTTTTACGGGGCTGCTTCTGCTCCTTTCCCTTCTTTGGTGGTCTTCCTCTCTTACGACCTTTTTGCTGCTTCTCCAAGGTAGCGCCGCCGCCGCTTTCCTCCACTGCATTTACCTCCATATTCACCCTCCCCAAATCTCCCTCCTCCGATAGAGAATCCATCTTACCATTCTCCTCACTGATCAATATATCAATCGAGATATCTACCCTCTCTTCGTTCCTACCACTACCATCCTCGTTCCCTAAAACCCCGTTCGTTTTCGTTTCACCGCCCACTGAATCGTCAGTCCCCTTCGCATCAGTAACATCGATTTCCTCAAAATCCGCCGGCCGACTCTCCGTCAACGACGGCGTGAAATCTCCAATCTCCGCCATCGCCTCGTTCGAACTACACCGCCTCAGCTGGCCTTCAGATTCCTCCATAGCTCAACCCTTTATTGCCCCCTCCGCTTCCTCCCTATATATCGTACGGCGATTGAATGTAGTTTACCTAGAGAGAGTTATTATTATGCAACTGATTTGTAAAACATCCCGACAGTTCTTCCCTTGCACAATAAACCCTCGTATCTACAGAGATGGTATCGGAACGTGTGCAAGGGTTTTTGTTTGGGTGGGAAAGTTTTTGAAATTTCCCGCCTTTTTTCCCGTCATTCCAGAGGCCAAGCGTATAAGCATTGTTTGATGCTCCGTATATATTAGGCAAGTAGCGAACATTCAGTAATTGATTTGTATTTTAACTCCGTAAAAGCTGTAGTGATACTTAAATTTACAATTTTAAAATAATCGGAAATAATTAAATATAATCTTTTATATAATAAAGCTATATGGTTTGGTAAATAATTAATGTTACAATTAATGCCACAACATCTTTTATTATTAAAAAAAAAACACAACATTTAAAAAATAAAATAGCTATATATTATATAATCATATAAAAAATATACTTTTGAAAAATAAAATAGCTATATATTATATAATCATATAAAAAATGTGTTCAATTAGAGTTTAAATTTACACATACAGAATTTGAAATTTGCTTTCCAAATGTAATTATCTTAGTTATTATTCGTATTGTGAAAATTATAATATAGATAAAATACAATTAAGAATAAATCAATGTAATTATGTAAATTCTCCCTATAAGTTTATTTGAATATGCACATAATTAGAGATTATATTAATCATACAAAATTATAATTATAATTATAATTATAATTTTAATTTTAATTTTAATTTTAATTTTGTATTCTATAAAAATAATAAATACTTGACCAATGGAAGCTCAAAAATATTATTATATTAAATAATTTAAAATATTTTAATTTTTCTATTTTTAATTTATATTTATAATAACATAATTTTTTTCCCGTGCATCGCGCAGGTGAATTACTAGTAGATATAATTTGTGGGTCCAACAAAAAAATGGATATGCAATTAGCACATTATAGTATAACTTAATGCAATCATCACTTTATGCAAGTTAGTGGCCTTTTTAACAACCGACGGTTAACGGTTAGCGAATTGTGTTAACGACTTTAATTAATATATTGTATCATCAATTTGTAACAAATATTTAATACAATTAGTTGTTAAATATCTGTAGTTAATATATAAAATGATCTATAAGGATATAAAAATAGCTAGTAGCAATAGTAGTAGTAATAATAGTAATAGTAACAACAAAAATAACAATATTTTTTAAAAAAATCAAAAGTCATTATGATCAATTTATCACTTTTTCCAATATCAGTGACAAAAGTAACAAGGGAACTTTATTCATGTAAAATTGGTTATCTAAATTTGAATCGGCTAACTATAAATAGTTTAGGTTGATTTATTTTATTAGGATCTTTTGATTAGATTCATACGATTTATTCCACTAATAACACAATTTTAAATAGCAATTGCGATTCTTTCCATAAATCAAAGAGATAGATCTTCAATCTTCATGTAAAAATGGATTATAAAAGTCCAAAATAAATATTTTAATATAAGGGAAAATGGCACTTTTTCCCCCTATGTTATATACTTATAGCATTTTTTCCCCCTCAATTATTTAAGTGGCTCTTTTTCCCCCTGAAATGTTAAATGGACATATTTACCCTTAAAATAAATATTTCATTTATTTTTATTCTCCAATAAATTATTACTATAATTTGGTTCAAACCAGATACTATAGTAACCAAACCAAAATATTCCAATTACAATTTATAATCAAAACGCGATATTTAGAGTTTATTAAAATCGCGAACTGGAATGGCCGGTTCATGTTCCGAACTGAAAAAATAAAATACATTTATTGTTGAATTTAAACTATTTTAAAATAAAAAATAAAATTTTAAAATATAGACAGTTCAAAATCGCGAACGGGATCCGGAACCGCCGGTTCATGATCCAATTTTTTTTTATTCTTAAATTTAATAAATTGAAATCCAAATATTGGGTTCTAGATCTGAATCATAACTGAAAACTTGTAATTCGATTGCTATAGTGTCTGGTTCAGTTCGAACCGAACCGTGATAATAGCTACATATACGCAATAATTTGTTGGAGAAGTAAAATAAATAAAATGTTTACTTTAAGGGTAGAAATGTCAATTTAATATATTAGGGGGGAAAACCATCACTTTTAAAATAATTGAGGGGGCTAATGTGCTTACATAAATAATTGAGGGGGAAAAAGTGCTATAAGTATATAACATAGGGGGAAAAAGTGCCATTTTCCCTTAATATAATTAATAGTTCTGAAAGTTAAACTACTAAATTGTTAAAAGTGGGCTTCTTGTCGGGTCAGATTTCAGGAATTAGCCCTTATACCTAAATGGGCTTCAAAGAATTATTAATTTAATTTGGTAGCCTGTTAGGTAGTTTCGGCCCATACAAATTTTTAATTTATTTTATATCTTACACCTGTATTGTGTGCCCTAGCCCAAAACGACATCGTTTTGTATATGTTTTCCGTTTCTGTCGTTAACTTCTTAAAAAAAAATTAATGTTTCATATGTACAGAACTATATAATAGAATATACATAAACTCCTAACATAATACACATAATCTACATAAACTCTTAACATAATACACATAAACACACATGTAAAAAAAATAATAATAATAATAAAGAAAACTGTAACGGGATTGGATGGACAGAATGATGTCCGTTGCGCTAACTCCTCACCAACTTATAAAAACATCATCGTTTTGGGCCAGGGCCCTGGTGCACGATATACCAATTGCGATTTGTGTGTGTCATTCAGCCCATTCTTGTAAATTTAGCATATAGCCGCAATTTATATCGTGCACCAGGGCGCACATTGCATTGTGTGCGATGGTGCAAAACGACGTCGTTTTGTACTCTCTTTTTTTTTTTTTTTTTTTTTTAATTTCCCTTTTCTGTGTTTGCTGAAAAATTAATATTTTGAAAATGTATATAATTGTATAACATAATACACATACATTTTTAACTGTTAAAAAAATCGTGTGTTCGAATGTACATAATTGTATAAAAAATATACATAACTGTATAAAATAATGTACATAATTGTATAACATAATGTACATAATTATATAACATAGTACACATACACTCTAGCGCGTCAACTCTCTACGCAACTTAATAAAACGACGTCATTTTAGAAAGTGCAGAGCATACAGTGCTATGTGCACCGTGATGCATGGTATAACAATTGCCATATACGCTATGTTTCAGTATCATTTTTCAAGAAGGGGACAAGAAAAATTATTTGATACAAATTTTTAGCGAGAGTAAGTCGGACCTCATATTGTGATTATTAAATGTGGTAATATACGTGCAGTGGATGAGTTAATATGATTAGTTTTTGAAGCGTGATCCGTATGCAATCAATTCAATTGTAATACTATGGACCAAGATTCATATTGCATTGTAAATACTAATACAAAAATGTTGTACCTTCAGTTAACACTTAACACATTATGTACCTACAGTTAATAGTTTATGTACATGTAAACAAATAACTTGATAATTATTGACACATAATATAATAGATACATGTACAAAAACTATCAACTGCAGATACAGAATGTATCAACCATAAATACAGAATCAGACTTGATAATTGCTAAAACATAATATGATAACTACAGGTACAAAACTATCGACTGCAGGTACATAATGTATCAACTATATAGATACAGATTCTGAAGGTTATTTTTGGACCAACGCCTACATTGCAAGGTAGACCCTAATCCATGGTATAATTTGCCCAATCATTGAAATAGTTTAAAGTAGAAAAAGTGTATATATTACACGACGTTATAAAAATAAAAATATAATAGATGCCCTTAAATGTAGTATGGTGAAGTTTGATTAAATTTTTACAAGAATCATTCTAGACAACAAATAATTTTGGATTGGATACAAATGATCTCACTGGTGAAATCCCTAAATCAATTGGAAATTTGCGAAATTTAACGACCCTTTATCTCTATGAGAACAAATTTTCAGGTCAAATTCCTCAAGAAATTGGGTTGTTAACATCCCTTGTTAATTTTGGATTGAGCTCAAATAATTTCACTGGCCAAATCCCTACTTCAATTGGAAATTTACGAAATTTATCAGAATTCAATCTTATGACAAATAAACTAACTGGCGTCATTCCTTCAGAGTTCAACAATGTTACTTTCTTATCCAAGTTTGAGTTATCATATAACCACTTCACTGGTGAGTTGCCAGAAAATTTATGCTTGGGTCGTTCACTAAAACGGTTAGGTGTGATAAACAATGAGTTCAATGGAACAATTCCCAAAACTCTGAAAAATTGCACCTCTCTTATCAGAGCACGTCTTTCTGGCAACAAATTCTCAGGAGATATATCTGAAGCTTTTGGAGAATATCCAGACTTAAATTACATTGATTTGAGTAACAATTCTTTCCATGGCCAATTATCTTCTAATTGGGGAAACTGCCCAAAACTCTCTGCTTTGAAGATTTCAAACAACAGAATTTCTGGAAAACTCCCAACAAATCTATACAATGCATCCCAACTTGTTTTTCTTGATCTCTCATCAAATGAACTAGTTGGAATGATTCCTAAGAGTTTGGAGAAGTTGGTACGGTTAAATATTCTTAAGCTGGATAACAACAAATTTTCTGGTAACATATCACTTGAAATTGGGAAATTATCTGGGCTTTCGATATTCAGCATAGCTGCAAATAGTTTTGTTGGGTTGATTCCAGAGCACTTTGAAAGTTGTCAAGGGTTAATAGAGTTGAACTTGAGCAGAAATATGCTTGTTGGCAATATTCCTTATGGTATGGGAAACATGAAATTGCTTGAAAGCCTTGACCTCAGTCACAATGCACTCTCTGGTCAAATACCACAACAATTTGAAGGACTTACATCTTTACAGATCATGAACCTATCTCACAATAATTTATCGGGTTATATTCCTTCAGGCATAACCCTGTGCTTAGGTTTATTATCTGTTGATGTATCCTACAATCAATTGGAAGGTCCCATCCCAAATAATAAAGCATTTTTGGAAGCTCCGTACGATGCTTTGAGAAATAATAAAGGTCTTTGTGGGAACCATTCTGGCTTCAAGCCTTGCTTCTCATACAATCGAAGAGATCATCATCAGAGAAGAAATTTGCTCTTAATCATACTACTACTAACATTTGGAAGTTTGTCTATGATTATTAGCATTCTTGTCATATTAATTCTTCGGTCAAGGAGGAATATTAGAGAAAAGCCAAGGGCAATTACTAATAAAGATGTGCTGGCAATATTGAATTTTGACGGAAATATGGCATATGAAAGCATCATCGAGGCAACTGGGAACTTTGATTCAATGTATTGCATTGGTGAAGGAGGGCATGCAAGTGTTTATAGGGCTGAGCTACCAAGTGGCCAGATTGTTGCTATAAAGAGGTTTAATAATGCAATTGGGCACGAAGACGAATCCTGCGAACTCAAAAGTTTTTCAAATGAGGTTCGCACTTTGACAGAGGTTAGGCATCGGAATATTGTGAAATTGTATGGTTTTTGTGCTAGTGAGAGAAATACATTCTTAATTTATGAGTACTTGGAAGGGGGAAGCCTAGCACACATATTAAATGATGGGGAAAAAGCCATGGAATTCGGGTGGATGAAGAGGATAAATGTGGTTAAAGCTGTGGCTAAAGCTTTATCATATATTCACCATGATTGTTTACCACCTATTGTACATCGGGATATATCAGCTAAGAATATTTTGTTTGATTGTGAATATGAAGCTCACATGTCTGATTTCGGCACAGCAAGAATATTGAGTCTTCATTCATCAAATTGGACTTCATTTGCAGGAACATTTGGCTATGCAGCTCCAGGTATACCATACATTATTTTTTCACCTACCCAAGCTTAACATATATAGTTAATCCAGTTTACATACATACATATATGCTCTGATCTGATCTCTTCTTTCTTCTTATTTTGTTTCAATTTCTTTTATTGTAGAGTTTGCTTATACTATGGAGGTGACGGAAAAATGTGATGTGTATAGCTTCGGAGTGGTAGCACTAGAAGTGATTATGGGTAAACATCCAGGTGACCTCATTACGTCCATCTTTTCATCTCCAATATCAACCGTCCATGAAACACTACTTTTCAAAGATGTGTTGGATCCTCGACTCTCTACTCCAACAAAGACGGAAGCGGAAGAGTTGATTTTGGTGGCGAAGATAGCAGTGGCGTGTTTAAATATGAATCCACAATGTCGGCCAAGCATGGAACAGGTTTCTGTGTTTCTAAGCAAAGAAAGGGAATATTATTCCTCAAATTCATTTCCACTGATCACAATAAACCAATTGTTCGGTGGTCTTGAGTCCTACTCCAATCCTTAGAGGGTAAATTTGGGTAGGTTGAAGTCTTATTCATGCCAGCTGCCAAGGTATGTATGCATTATTGGTCTGATCAACTACCTTATTAGATTATACATATATATGATCCATCTCTAAAATCTACTGAAATTTGAATTGAAACTAATATTTGAATTGTTTTATTGGTTCTTTCAATAGTTGGCTGCAGTTACAGCCCAATTTCTTATGACGACAACTTTGCAAACCATCCAGTTGTGCAAATTAAAATGGCAGCAAATTATGACAGACACCAATTAAGACTCTGATGTCATGCATGCATGCCGCCTTTGCTTACAATCATGTTGATACACTGGTAAGTAACAACTATACTATACTATACTATATATACAGGTAGTAGGGTTTCAAACTTAATTTAATTTACATACATTTGGATGTAGTCCGATCGAGCAGCTTTTCTGATCCTATAATCTACTACGTTGAATTGGATGGATTACAACATATATCCAGATTATTAGTAAATATTATTCATACTGGATAGATTTCAAACTTTAATTACATATATTTTGATGCAGATCAGATCAGAGCAGCTTAATTTACTGCATGTGCTTCAAATTTCATCAATGTTGCTAACATATGATCCTAAAACTAAGTTGCAACACCTCCACGCCAGAGCCATAGGTAATCGAATTCATGCATTCATTCTTATCTTGATTACTTCTGCAGATGTATATATGTGTTCATTTAATTTTTTACTCAGTTAACTTCTTTCAATTGTTATAAATTCTTGTAAGGTGTATGCTTACATATTAAGCCTAGAAAGACATGACTGATGATTGGTATGTTAGATGCTAGGAGTAAATGTACCATTAGGTATGCATAAATGCACTACAAAGTGTTCGAAAATGTACCATTAAATCCACACCAACGCCATATAGCTTAAACTTCTTTCAATTGTTGTTAATGGCAGGTGAACTGATTCGATGCTTCTCCAATTCAACAAGGCATGTGGTATATATGATATCAAATATATAACATCGATCAATAAATCCTGCTAGAGATCAGAGATTGGACTCTCTCAGAAGTCAGAAGTAAGTAAGTTAGTTACCTTGATAATAATATGTATATAATTTGACTTAACTATATATGTGTCTATGTTACTACCTTTACCCAGACCTTGTTAATTGAAGGCCAGGATTCACACTATAATCACTTGGTATCTGTTACTAATCTGTGCAGACAATTGACAGATGGTTGAAGAAGTAGAGAAGCTAGCTGATCTGATGATTCAAATCATTATAGGAACCTCTTTGCTTTACAGGAAATTAAGCTCACAACCGCCACTGAGTGAAGTCCATCTTGTGATCGGCTCAAATCAAGATTAGAGGCCAATAAATAGCGAGGGCCGGTGGCCTGTTTAAATTTGAATCCGGCCACAATGTTGGCCAAGCATGGAACAGGTTTGTGTGTTGCTAATTAAGCAAAGAAAGGCAATCCTCAAATTCACTTCCACTGCAGATCACTCACAATAAACCTACCAATTGTTCAGTGGGTTGAAGTCTTATTCATGCAATCATGCCAGGCCGGGTAGGCGGGTATGTATGCGTCATATCATTGGTCTGATCTGATCAACGTAATACCCTGCCACAGTGCCACCCCCTAGCTATCTTATAATATTATTCATATGATCCGATCCTCCATCTCTAATTATATTTAATTTGAAACTAATTATTTATCTGTTTTGTAGATTCATTCAACAGTTAGCCGCAGTTACAACCCAATTTCTTTTGACGACGACTTTGCAAACCATGCATGCCAGTTGTTCAAATTAAAATGGCAGGCAGCAAATTATGAGTGACACCAATTAAGAGTTAAGACTCTGCTGTCATGCTCATCCATGCCGCCATAGCTTACAATCATGCAGATACTATACACTGGTAAGTAAAAGTAACAATAATTATACTATACTATACTATACAGGTAGGTAGCTAGATAGGGTTTCAGATCAAACTTTAATTTAAATACATTTGGATGTAGATCAGATCAGAGCAGCTTTTCTGATCCAATCAGGCCTAAAAATTTCTTCACTGTTATATTGCATGCATGCTAGCTAGTGTAATTGATGATGTTGTGTTAGGAATTTGATCGACATCATGGTACATGTATATATTGTTCGATGGAAGAAGCCCGCATCCATTTGAATGTCAACAACTGTAACAGGTCCAGATGCATGGAATGTTTTTACAATGCAAGTTTTATTGGACTCTCAACCCTCTACTCCAACAAGGCTCCAGGAAGCTAGCGGATCGGAAGAATTGATTTTTGTTGCCTGCTTAAATATCAATCTGAATCTACAATATCGACCAACCATGTGACAGGTTTCTTTGCTGCTAATAACTAAGGAAAGGCATTATATATTTCTCAAATTAAATTTACTTCCAAATATCATCCATCACAATAAGCCATTCAATTGTTTGGTCTTCAATTTCCTACTCAGCTCTCTGATTAGCTGTCGTAGTGTCCAGATTAATCCTCGATCTATCCGACATTATTCAAAAGGCTTTAATTTAATTGTTCTCATGCATTTGCAGAGCCATTCAACCATGATCTTCATTACCCAACAATCTTTATTATTTGTTGTACCTAATTGAATTGTAGCCAAATTGAAGGAATTTAATAATCTTGACAGGTCTGTATCAAAGCATTAATATTGTTATATGTGACAGGTTAAGTTGAGGAAGAAAGATAACACCACCCCCCGCCCGGCCCCCACACACCAATAAAAAAAAAAAAAAGGTGGTATGAATTCATATATGCATGCATTTGCCATCCCAGTTACAATATAATAGAAAAGCTTTTCTTCTTTAATGGGACTTTGAGACTTGTTAACACTTGATATCATATATTTGTATGTGTCTTGCTCAATTGGATCAAGAAGCACCAGTTCGATGGTCAACAGCTTACGTTTGAAATCTCTGCTTGGTTATCCCTCACTCCATCTTTAACAAGTAAGCCATTTTCTTTTGAATATACAGATTGACTTAACAATAAAACACAGCTAGTGAGTTAGAGCATAATGTGTTAACTTATTATGTGATTCACAATATAATAATTACTTAAGCTTAATTGTGTCATTACTAATCTGTGTAGGCTAGCTAGGCAATCAACCCTCCCTCCATGCCAGTGATGAAGTCGAGATGAGAAGCTTAGTTTGCTGAGGGATGCTAAGATGTAGATGGAGAATTATATTATACATTACTGAATCGCTTAGCTTAGCTTGTTGTTGGGGTCAGATTGGTCGGTATCCATCGTCCATGCTTTTCTTCACTGTTTTAGAGGTAATTAGCACTCACTATATATAAATTAAGCTAAGTTTAAACATTTCAGCTGCCATTTGGTGCAGTTTGCTTGAGGCTCAGAGTGTTATCAAAAGTAATTATAGATGGAAGATGGGGCATCCATTAATATCTGGGGAGACCTAACAAACAATCTCCTTTTGTTTAACCCACTTTGACAGATCACCTCAACCAACCAAGCCAAAACTGATTGGGATGACTCTCTGCTGATTAGCCTTTTTAATCAGTCAGCAAGATGTGTGGATAAAATTAAGAGTATTCCAGTTGCAGATTTCAAATGTGAGGACAAGATCGATTATCTGGCCAGAAGATGAGAAAGGGGAAGCTTGTGGGGAATCATCATCATGCTCATAATATTTTGTTTTGGACCAAGATGTGGACACTGCATCTTCCTCCAAAAATTAAATCCTTCATGTGGCAGGCTTGTTCGATCTGGATCTCTTCCTATCCATGATGCTCTTAGAATTAAACTGCAGATTCATGTTCTTCCAGGCCAGTTTGTCAGACTTGCAATATCACATCTTTGTCACCTGCCAGCTTGCTAGAAACTGTAGTGACTATTTTGGAAACTCCTCCTATCGAGATGCTGATGATTCCTTCTTGGACTGGTTGGAAATAAATTTCAAAGATCTAGAGGAAACTGCGCTTTGTATATTGATCTCTATCTGCTGGAAACTTTGGGAAGCAAGGAGTGACAAGATTTGGAATCATCTGGTCATCTCTCCTGAAACTGTGGTTAGAATCCAACGCTAGCATTTCTAAGAAGATAATTTACTATTTTATGGTTGCAGCAAAGTTTCATTAGCAGATGTTTAGTTTTAACCATAAGTGCCAATCATAAAACCTATACAGGCAGAGATAACAAAATTCCTGCTCACAAGATATTCCTATGCCTTTAATTAAAGTGGAACAGGCAGTAATTTATCACACCTAAGTATAAACAAAAACAGAAAAGCAAAAACCAAACATGAGTACAGTCTTTAAGTAACTTTCATACCATCTGGTCATGCAAGGCACACAATATCTCTTTGTCCTGCAGTTTGTACTGTTAGAAAATATGGAGTGTTTGATGATAAGGAAGTGAGGAAACGAGATCTTCAGGCGGTAATCACTTTCTTATCAGCTTTAAATCTCCCTCATATAAAAGCAACAAAGTTCAAGATTTAATATTATGAAATACAATAAGAAGATAATGAAATTCTTAAGTTGCTTTGTTTAAGAATTTTCTGTAGAAAAGTAGTACTGTGAAATATCTCAGATTAATACAAGTTTATTGCATTTTTTTTTCAAACATTTCTCCAAATATTTATAGATGCATACAAAGCAGTTTGGATAAGTTACATAGAAGTTACAGGAGTTCAAAAACTCAACTTTCATAGAATATATCTTATCTGATATATTAGGCATGGAAAATAATTAAGTGAAATAATATATACATACATATATTATATATCCATGCATGTCCCAATACAAAAGAAATAAATATTATATAATATATATAAATATATGTTACCCCATTCAAAGCATGCAGCAAAACCAAAGTTTTGGTTTGTTTCACACGAATCTTGTACAAAAGGCTTCACACGAATTCATTGTCAAAATTCAATAAATCGTTAAGCGCGCACGAAAGCTACGCATGCACCGATTTATTAACACGAATCGTATTCATTCGTTGAGCACGAATGAATGTACAAAATGTTAAAGCCAACACGATTCATTATCATAAAATCAACGAAAACATTGATTCATGTAACCCAACGAAACAAACAAAATGCATGACATCAACTCGTTAAATCCGAATCTTTCGATTCATTAAATTAACAAATTTGATACAACCGAATTCATCGTTTAAATAACAATTTGTGCATAACAATTTGTACGCAACATTCATATTTTCCAACTTACTTTCTACCAAACTAAAATATATAATATTTATAACTCCACAACTCCAAATATTAGTTAAGCTTTTCCATGGTTACAGTAGGCGATAGGCACTAGTCAGGCGCTTGGACAGCGCCTAGCGCCTAGTCGGAATCTAGGTGGGCACCAAAAAAATTTAAAAAAATAATGACAGACTTGTAGTTTGACAATTTTAATGAGATTGTTTTCAACATTCAATCAATTAACACATCCAAATAAATGAAATAACGATAATTTATAAGTCATAACATCATAATAATATTAAAATCAATAATTAATGAAAGACAACATGGGACGAAAGCGGCACGGCATGGCGCCGCCTAGGCGCCGAGGAAGCCGAGTTTTACAACACTGAGCTTTTCATGTAGTTCATCTGAACCATTAACTCTCATTACTATATAAATTTCTAACATGTAGATCGAAGGGTGTGTGCACTCCCTTCACCACTTCCCCCATCCTGTGAACCCTCAACCACCTCTATATTTCTCCCATCTTTATCTGCTTCTTCCCACTCCACCATTTGCTCCTTAAGTTTCCTGATAAGAGTCTAAAAGTTTATAATTTCATCTTGCATTTAAGCTTATTTTCCTTGTTATTTGTTATAATTTTGTCTAAAGTGTCCTCATTTGATTCATTTGTGTGCTTATGAGTAATTCTTGATGATTTAGATGAATTGAGTGATTTTTAGGACATTTCAGATGCATGTAGAGTCAATGGGAACCAATGAGAAGCTATGAAGATGGGGCAACACCCTTTAGAGAGCCAAATGATGGTGTGTTTATTGGTCTTGGTCATTTGGACAAACAAAGGCAAAAGTGGAACAAAAGAGCAATAAGTTGAAATTCCCGTACAAATCGTCCACTGCTCGATATTTTGGTCATATCTCAACATAGGAGTGTCCAAATCAAATGGTATTGTCTCATTGAAAAAAGATAACTTGAAGGGCTATAACTTTGATTTAAGCATCAAAGGCTACATCAAACGTTTCGTGGGTTAAAAAGTACAATAACACAATTTTAAATAACAATTGCAATTCTTTCCATAAATCAAAGAAATAGATCTTCAATAATCTTCATGTAAAAATGGATTATAAAAGTCCAAAATAGATATTTTAATATAATTAATAGTTCTGAAAGTTATTTTCAAAAAAAAAAAAAATAGTTCTGAAAGTTAAACTAATACATTGTTAAAAGTGGGCTGCTTGTCGGGTCAGAATTCAGAAATTAGCCCTTAGAGATATACCTAAATGGGCTTCAAAGAATGATTAATTTAATTTGGTATCCTGTTAGGTAATTTCGGCCCATAAAAATTTAAAATTTCTGTGTGTCATTCAGCCCATTCTTGTAAATTTAGCATATAGCCATATACGCAATAGTTATGCTAGGCATCTATGGTGCACACGGTTGCAAAACGACGTCGTTTTGACTAAAAATGCGCGTCCCATTTAAAAAAAAAAAAATCAGTTTTAATTCCCCTCAACAGCATTATGTTGTTCATTCATTATGGATTTTTAGTTCATTTATTGTGGATATTTAGTTCATTCATTTTGGATTTTGTGTTATTCATTCACTGTGGATATATAGTTATGAATTTGTGGATATATAATTCAAATTATGCACACAAAAAATGCTATTGTCGAGAATCGAACCTGATTTTTTTTTTTTTTTTTAAAAAAAAAGTGAGACGCGTGTTTTTAGTCAAAACGACGTCGTTTTTGCAACCGTTGCACACCATAATTTGCGCCATATACGCTATGTTAATCTTTTCAGTATCATTTTAATCTTAACAAATGTTTTCAAGAAGGGGACAAGAAAATATATTTGATAAAAAATTTAAGCGAGGGTAAGTTGGACCTCATATTGTGATTATTAAATGTGGTAATATAAGTGGATTATTGTATAATCATATGAAAACAGGAAGAAGGAATACAGAGAATGGAGAGGTCAGGAAAGAAGGCCAGAGATGTTTCTCATTCATCATTATAATTCTTATACAAAGGTATCACCCAATATAAGGTAATAACAATACATATAAAAGGTAGTCACCTATTAATTACAACTTCTACCATATATATAATAATGTCCATATTAATATTTACAACATTCCCCCTTGGACATTATTTGACATGATCCTGCCTTGTAAAAATTTGCTAGGAAAACCCTGTGGGAAAAACCTAGACAAAATAGTATAAATGTATATATATTCATGTCTCGTTAAAAACTTCACTAGGAAAACCTCGTGGGAAAAACCTAGTTGAAGAAAAGAGTACATGATATTTGTAAGAACATATATTGTACTGATTGCCTCATTAAAAACCTTAACTTAAGAAAACCATGTGGGAAAAACTTAGTTAAGGGGAAAAGAGTACAACCAAAACCTTCAGGGCACAATCGACATAATCTTCAGGATTTTGGGGTTTGTCTACTTAAGCAATTATTTTGCAACTTTTCCCCATTTACATTACTATATCATACTCATGTCTCGTTAAAACCTCAATAGAAAACGCAGTGGGAAAAATTAGTTGAGGAAAAGAGTGCATGATGTATGTGTATTCTTGTTTTAGATTAACTGTCTCATTAAAAACCTTAGATTTAAGGAAAAATCCCGTGGGAAAAAATTTAACTAAGGAAAAGAGTACAACTGTTAGTCATCTAAGACCCAATCTTCAGGATTGATTCATGTAAAATGATACTCTCCCTCAAGATAACAATCTTTAATTCCCATACATTAAATTTCTAAACAGTATAGAGGAATTTTGTAAATAAATATATACAACTGTCAATTGAATAAATATACTCTATAATAATCTCGTGACTCTTATGGAGTTCACGTGGTATAATATTGATATCATAATATCTAGTCAACACAATCTTCATTGACCCTTTATGGGACAATGGGGGTAAATATATTTACAACATGGATGAGTTAATATGATTAGTTTGAAGCGTGATCCATATGCAATCAATTCAATTGTTATATTAACCCAATAGGTTAGCTCAGGTGGCAAATGAGCTCTTTTTGTGGGGGAGAATTCTGGGATAACCCGAGTTC